AGTGTTGAGTCTATGTGTGGCAGTGTTGAGTCTATGGGTGGCAGTGTTGAGTCTATGGGTGGCAGTGCTGAGCCTATGGGTGGCAGTGTTGAGTCTATGGGTGGCAGTGTTGAGTCTATGGGTGGCAGTGTTGAGTCTATGGGTGGCAGTGTTGAGTCTATGGGTGGCAGTGCTGAGCCTATGGGTGGCAGTGTTGAGTCTATGGGTGGCAGTGTTGAGTCTATGGGTGGCAGTGCTGAGTCTATGGGTGGCAGTGTTGAGTCTATGGGTGGCAATGTTGAGTCTATGGGTGGCAGTGTTGAGTCTATGGGTGGCAGTGTTGAGTCTATGGGTGGCAGTGTTGAGTCTATGAGTGGCAGTGTTGAGTCTATGGGTGGCAGTGTTGAGTCTATGGGTGGCAGTGTTGAGTCTATGGGTGGCAGTGTTGAGTCTATGGGTGGCAGTGTTGAGTCTATGGGTGGCAGTGTTGAGTCTATGGGTGGCGTTGTTGAGTCTATGGGTGGCAGTGTTGAGTCTATGGGTGGCAGTGTTGAGTCTATGGGTGGCAGTGTTGAGTCTATGGGTGGCAGTGTTGAGTCTATGGGTGGCAGTGTTGAGTCTGTGTGGCAGTGTTGAGTCTATGGGTGGCAGTGTTGAGTCTATGGGTGGCAGTGTTGAGTCGATGGGTGGCAGTGTTGAGTCTATGGGTGGCAGTGTTGAGTCTATGGGTGGCAGTGTTGAGTCTATGACAGTGTTGAGTCTATGGGTGGCAGTGTTGAGTCTATGACAGTGTTGAGTCTATGGGTGGCAGTGTTGAGTCTATGGGTGGCAGTGCTGAGTCTATGGGTGGCAGTGTTGAGTCTATGGGTGGCAGTGTTGAGTCTATGGGTGGCAGTGTTGAGTCTATGGGTGGCAGTGTGAGTCTATGTGTGGCAATGTTGAGTCTATGGGTGGCAGAGTTGAGTCTATGGGTGGCAGTGTTGAGACTATGGGTGGCAGTGCTGAGTCTATGAGTGGCAATGTTGAGCCTATGGGTGGCAGTGTTGAGTCTATGGGTGGTAGTGTTGAGTCTATGGGTGGCAGTGCTGAGTCTATGGGTGGCAGTGTTGAGTCTATGGGTGGCAGTGTTGAGTCTATGGGTGGCAGTGTTGAGTCTATGGGTGGCAGTGCTGAGCCTATGGGTGGCAGTGTTGAGTCTATGGGTGGTAGTGTTGAGTCTATGGGTGGCAGTGCTGAGTCTATGGGTGGCAGTGTTGAGTCTATGGGTGGCAGTGTTGAGTCTATGGGTGGCAGTGCTGAGTCTATGGGTGGCAGTGTTGAGTCTATGGGTGGCAGTGTTGAGTCTATGGGTGGCAGTGTTGAGTCTATGGGTGGCAGTGTTGAGTCTATGGGTGGCAGTGTTGAGTCTATGAGTGGCAGTGTTGAGTCTATGGGTGGCAGTGTTGAGTCTATGGGTGGCAGTGTTGAGTCTATGGGTGGCAGTGTTGAGTCTATGGGTGGCAGTGTTGAGTCTATGGGTGGCAGTGTTGAGTCTATGGTGGCGTTGTTGAGTCTATGGGTGGCAGTGTTGAGTCTATGGGTGGCAGTGTTGAGTCTATGGTGCAGTGTTGAGTCTATGAGTGGCAGTGTTGAGTCTATGGGTGGCAGTGTTGAGTCTATGGGTGGCAGTGTTGAGTCTATGGGTGGCAGTGTTGAGTCTATGGGTGGCAGTGTTGAGTCTATGGGTGGCAGTGCTGAGTCTATGGGTGGCAGTGTTGAGTCTATGGGTGGCAGTGTTGAGTCTATGGGTGGCAGTGTTGAATCTATGGGTGGCAGTGTTGAGTCTATGAGTGGCAATGTTGAGTCTATGGGTGGCAGAGTTGAGTCTATGGGTGGCAGTGTTGAGACTATGGGTGGCAGTGTTGAGTCTATGGGTGGCAGTGCTGAGTCTATGGGTGGCAATGTTGAGTCTATGGGTGGTAGTGTTGAGTCTATGGGTGGCAGTGTTGAGTCTATGGGTGGCAGTGTTGAGTCTATGGGTGGCAGTGCTGAGCCTATGGGTGGCAGTGCTGAGTCTATGGGTGGCAGTGTTGAGTCTATGGGTGGTAGTGTTGAGTCTATGGGTGGCAGTGCTGAGTCTATGGGTGGCAGTGTTGAGTCTATGGGTGGCAGTGTTGAGTCTATGGGTGGCAGTGTTGAGTCTATGGGTGGCAGTGTTGAGTCTATGGGTGGCAGTGTTGAGTCTATGGGTGGCAGTGTTGAGTCTATGGGTGGCAGTGTTGAGTCTATGGGTGGCAGTGTTGAGTCTATGGGTGGCAGTGTTGAGTCTATGGGTGGCAGTGTTGAGTCTATGTGTGGCAGTGTTGAGTCTATGGGTGGCAGTGTTGAGTCTATGGGTGGCAGTGTTGAGTCTATGGGTGGCAGTGTTGAGTCTATGGGTGGCAGTGTTGAGTCTATGGGTGGCAGTGCTGAGCCTATGGGTGGCAGTGTTGAGTCTATGGGTGGTAGTGTTGAGTCTATGGGTGGCAGTGCTGAGTCTATGGGTGGCAGTGTTGAGTCTATGGGTGGCAGTGTTGAGTCTATGGGTGGCAGTGCTGAGTCTATGGGTGGCAGTGGTTGAGTCTATGGGTGGCAGTGTTGAGTCTATGGGTGGCAGTGTTGAGTCTATGGGTGGCAGTGTTGAGTCTATGGGTGGCAGTGTTGAGTCTATGAGTGGCAGTGTTGAGTCTATGGGTGGCAGTGTTGAGTCTATGGGTGGCAGTGTTGAGTCTATGGGTGGCAGTGTTGAGTCTATGGGTGGCAGTGTTGAGTCTATGGGTGGCAGTGTTGAGTCTATGGGTGGCGTTGTTGAGTCTATGGGTGGCAGTGTTGAGTCTATGGGTGGCAGTGTTGAGTCTATGGTGCAGTGTTGAGTCTATAGGCAATGTTGCGTCTATGGGTAGTGTGGAATCTATGGGTAGTGTTGAGTCTATGGGAAATGTTGAGTCTATGGGCAGTGTTGAGTCTATGGGCAGTGTTGAGGCTATGGGCAATGTTGAGTCTATGGGCAGTGTTGAGTCTATGGGCAGTGTTGAGTCTATGGGCAATGTTTAGTCTATGGGCAGTGTTGAGTCTATGGGCAGTGTTGAGTCTATGGGCAGTGTTGAGTCTATGGGCAGTGTTGAGTCTATGGGCAATGTTGAGTCTATGGGCAGTGTTGAGTTTCTGGGCAGTGTTGAGTCTATGGGCAGTATTGAGTCTATGGGCAGTGCTGAGTCTATGGGCAATGTTGAGTCTATGGGCAGTGTTGAGTCTAAGGGCAATGTTGAGTCTATGGGCAATGTTGAGTCTATGGGCAGTATTGAGTCTATAGGCAGTGCTGAGTCTATGGGCAATGTTGAGTCTATGGGCAGTGTGAGTCTATGGGCAATGTTGAGTCTATGGGCAGTGTTGAGTCTATGGTGCAGTGATGAGTTTATGGGCAGTGCTGAGCCTATGGGCCGTGTTGAGTCTATGTGTGGCAGTGTTGAGTCTATGGGCAGTGTTGAGTCTATGGGCAATATTGAGTCTATGGGCAATGTTGAGTCTATGGGCAATGTTGAGTCTATGGGCAGTGTTAGTCTATGGGCAGTATTGAGTCTATGGGCAGTGCTGAGTCTATGGGCAATGTTGAGTCTATGGGCAGTGTTGTGTCTATGTGTGGCAGTGTTGAGTCTATGGGCAGTGTTGTGTCTATGTGTGGCAGTGTTGAGTCTATGGGCAGTGTTGAGTCTATGGGTGGCAGTGTTGAGTCTATGGGCAGTGTTGTGTCTATGGGTGGCAGTGTTGAGTCTATGGGTGGCAGTGTTGAGTCTATGGGCAGTGTTGTGTCTATGGGCTATGTTGAGTCTATGGGTGGCAGTGTTGAGTCTATGGGCAATGTTGAGTCTATGGGTCGCAGTGTTGAGTCTATGGGTGGCAGTGTTGAGTCTATGGGTGGCAGTGTTGTGTCTATGGGTAGTGTTGTGTCTATGGGCAATGTTGAGTCTATTGTGGCAGTGTTGTGTCTATGGGTGGCAGTGTTGAGTCTATGGGTAGTGTTGTGTCTATGGTGCAGTGATGAGTCTATGGGTGGTAGTATTGTGTCTATGGGTGGCAGTGTTGAGTCTATTGGTGGCAATGTTGAGTCTATGGGTGGCAGTGTTGAGTCTATGGGCAGTGTTGTGTCTATGGGTGGCAGTGTTGAGTCTATGGGTGGTAGTGTTGTGTCTATGGGTGGCAGTGTTGAGTCTATGGGCAGTGTTGTGTCTATGGTGCAGTGTTGAGTCTATGGGTGGCAGTGTTGAGTCTATGGGTGGCAGTGTTGAGTCTATTGGTGGCAGTGTTGAGTCTATGGGCAGTGTTGTGTCTATGGGTGGCAGTGTTGGGTCTATGGGTGGCAGTGCTGAGTCTATGGTTGGCAGTGTTGAGTCTATGGGTGGCAGTGTTGAGTCTATGGGTGGCAGTGTTGAGTCTATGGGTGGCAGTGCTGAGTCTATGGGTGGCAGTGTTGAGTCTATGGGTGGCAGTGTTGAGTCTATGGGTGGCAGTGTTGAGTCTATTGGTGGCAATGTTGAGTCTATGGGTGGCAGTGTTGAGTCTATGGGTGGCAGTGTTGAGTCTATGGGCAGTGTTGTGTCTATGGGTGGCAGTGTTGAGTCTATGGGCAGTGTTGTGTCTATGGGTGGCAGTGTTGAGTCTATGGGTGGCAGTGTTGGTCTATGGGCAGTGTTGTGTCTATGGGTGGCAGTGTTGAGTCTATGGGTGGCAGTGTTGAGTCTATGGGTGGCAGTGTTGAGTCTATGGGTAGCAGTGTTGAGTCTATGGGTGGCAGTGTTGAGTCTATGGGTGGCAGTGTTGAGTCTATGGGTGGCAGTGTTGAGTCTATGGGTGGCAGTGTTGAGTCTATGGGTGGCAGTGTTGAGTCTATGGGTGGCAGTGTTGAGTCTATGGGTGGCAGTGTGAGTCTATGGGTGGCAGTGTTGAGTCTATGGGTGGCAGTGTTGAGTCTATGTGCTTCCAATAGAGGTCGCGATTGAACTTACTTGGGCCACACGTGGATTCCAAAGTGATGGTCTCAGCTGAGTAATTAAGGCAGCGCTGTGGAAACAGGAGAAACGGAGAGATGTGTCACCCACTCATCCACCCACTCACCCACCCACTCACCCACTCACCCACTCACTCACCCACCCACTCACCCACCCACTCACCCACCCACTCACCCAACCACTCACCAAACCACTCACTCACCCACCCACTCACCCACCCACTCACCCACCCACTCACTCACCCATCCACTCACCCACCCACTCACTCACCCACTCACTCACCCACCCACTCACCCATCCACTCACCCACCCACTCACTCACTCACCCACTCACCCACCCACTCACCCACCCACTCACCCAACCACTCACCCAACGACTCACCCACCCACTCACTCACCCACCCACTCACCCACCCACCCACTCACCCACCCACTCACCCACCCACTCACTCACTCACCCACCCACTCACCCACCCACCCACTCACCCACCCACCCACTCACCCACCCACTCACCCACCCACTCACCCACCCACCCACCCACTCACCCACCCACTCACTCAGCCACCCACTCACCCAACCACTTACCAAACCACTCACTCACCCACCCACTCACCCACCTACTCACCCACCCACTCACCCACCAACTCACCCACCTACTCACCCACCCACCCATTCACCCACTTACCCATCCACTGACCCACTCGCTCACTCACCCACTCGTTCACTCACCCACCCATTCACCCACCTACTCACCCACCTTCTCCCCTATTCACTCGCTCACTCACCCAGTCGCTCACTCACTCACCCACCCAACCACTCACCCACCCACCCACTCACCCACTCACTCACCCACTCATCCACCCACTCACCAACCCACTAGCTCACCGATTCAACTACCCATTCAATCACTCAGTCATTCGCTCAGTGAGTGAGTGGAGGAGTGAGTGAGAGGGTGAGTGAGAGGGTGAGCGAGCGGGCATCGAGTTAGCAAATACCTGAGTGAACGGGCGAGCGGGTGAGCGGGAACGTGAGTGAACGAGCGAGTGAGCGGGTGAGTGGGTACGTGAGTGAACAAGCGGGTAAGTGGGTACGTGAGTGAGTGAGCGGGTGAGTGGGTACGTGAGTGAACGAGCGAATGAGCGGGTGAGTGAGTACGTGAGTGAGTGAGCGGGTAAGTGGGTACGTGAGTGAGTGAGCGGGTGAGTGGGTACGTGAGTGAACGAGCGAGCGAGTGGGTGAGTGGGTACGTGAGTGAACGAGCGAGTGAGCGGGTGAGTGGGTACGTGAGTGAACGAGCAGGCAAGCGGGTGAGTGGATATGTGAGTGAACGAGCGAGTGAGCGGGTGAGTGGGTAAGTGAGTTGACGAGCGAGTGAGCAAGTGGGTGAGTGGGTACGTGAGTGAGTGAACGAGCGGGTGAGTGGGTGAGTGGGTACGTGAGTGAGTGATCGAGCGGGTGAGTGGGTACGTGAGTGAACGAGCGAGCGAGTGGGTGAGTGGGTATGTGAGTGAACGAGTGAGTGAGCGGGTGAGTGGGTACGTGAGTGAGCGAGCGAGCGGGTGAGTGGGTACGTGAGTGAACGAGTGAGTGGGTGAGTGGGTACGTGAGTGAACGAGCGAGTGGGTGAGTGGGTACGTGAGTGAGTGAGCGAGTGGGTGAGCGAGTACGTGAGTGAGCGGGCAAGTGGGTGAGTGGGTACGTAAGTGAACGAGCGAGTGGGTGAGTGGGTACGTGAGTGAACGAGTGAGTGAGCGGGTGAGTGGGTACGTGAGTGAGCGAGCGAGTGGGTGAGTGGGTACGTGAGTGAACGAGTGAGTGAGCGGGTGAGTGGGTACGTGAGTGAGTGAACGAGCGAGTGGGTACGTGAGTGAACGAGTGAGTGAGCGGGTGAGTGGGTCCGTGAGTGAGTGAGCGAGTGGGTGAGTGGGTACGTGAGTGAACGAGCGAGCGAGTGGGTGAGTGGGTACGTGAGTGAGTGAGCGAGTGGGTGAGTGGGTACGTGAGTGAACGAGTGAGTGAGCGGGTGAGTGGGTACGTGAGTGAGTGAACGAGCGAGTGGGTACGTGAGTGAACGAGTGAGTGAGCGGGTGAGTGGGTCCGTGAGTGAACGAGCGAGTGGGTGAGTGAGTGGGTCCGTGAGTGAACGAGCGAGGTGAGCGGGTGAGTGGGTACGTGAGTGAGCGAGTAAGCGGGTGAGTGAACGAGGGAGTGGGTGAGTGGGTGAGTGGGTCCGTGAGTGAACGAGCGAGTGAGCGGGTGAGTGGGTACGTGAGTGAGCGAGTAAGCGGGTGAGTGAACGAGGGAGTGGGTGAGTGGGTGAGTGGGTCCGTGAGTGAACGAGTAAGCGGGTGAGTGGGTACGTGAGTGAACGAGCGAGTAAGCGGGTGAGTGAACGAGGGAGTGGGTGAGTGGGTGAGTGGGTCCGTGAGTGAACGAGTAAGCGGGTGAGTGGGTACGTGAGTGAACGAGCGAGTAAGCGGGTGAGTGAACGAGGGAGTGGGTGAGTGGGTGAGTGGGTCCGTGAGTGAACGAGTAAGCGGGTGAGTGGGTACGTGAGTGAACGAGCGAGTAAGCGGGTGAGTGAACGAGGGAGTGGGTGAGTGGGTGAGTGGGTCCGTGAGTGAACGAGTAAGCGGGTGAGTGGGTACGTGAGTGAACGAGCGAGTAAGCGGGTGAGTGAACGAGGGAGTGGGTGAGTGGGTGAGTGGGTCCGTGAGTGAACGAGTAAGCGGGTGAGTGGGTACGTGAGTGAACGAGCGAGTAAGCGGGTGAGTGAACGAGGGAGTGGGTGAGTGGGTGAGTGGGTCCGTGAGTGAACGAGTAAGCGGGTGAGTGGGTACGTGAGTGAACGAGCGAGTAAGCGGGTGAGTGAACGAGGGAGTGGGTGAGTGGGTGAGTGGGTGAGTGGGTCCGTGAGTGAACGAGTAAGCGGGTGAGTGGGTACGTGAGTGAACGAGCGAGTAAGCGGGTGAGTGAATGAGGGAGTGGGTGAGTGGGTGAGTGGGTCCGTGAGTGAACGAGTAAGCGGGTGAGTGGGTACGTGAGTGAACGAGCGAGTAAGCGGGTGAGTGAACGAGGGAGTGGGTGAGTGGGTGAGTGGGTCCGTGAGTGAACGAGTAAGCGGGTGAGTGGGTACGTGAGTGAACGAGCGAGTAAGCGGGTGAGTGAACGAGGGAGTGGGTGAGTGGGTGAGTGGGTCCGTGAGTGAACGAGTAAGCGGGTGAGTGGGTACGTGAGTGAACGAGCGAGTAAGCGGGTGAGTGAACGAGGGAGTGGGTGAGTGGGTGAGTGGGTCCGTGAGTGAACGAGTAAGCGGGTGAGTGGGTACGTGAGTGAACGAGCGAGTAAGCGGGTGAGTGAACGAGGGAGTGGGTGAGTGGGTGAGTGGGTCCGTGAGTGAACGAGTAAGCGGGTGAGTGGGTACGTGAGTGAACGAGCGAGTAAGCGGGTGAGTGAACGAGGGAGTGGGTGAGTGGGTGAGTGGGTCCGTGAGTGAACGAGTAAGCGGGTGAGTGGGTACGTGAGTGAACGAGCGAGTAAGCGGGTGAGTGAACGAGGGAGTGGGTGAGTGGGTGAGTGGGTCCGTGAGTGAACGAGTAAGCGGGTGAGTGGGTACGTGAGTGAACGAGCGAGTAAGCGGGTGAGTGAACGAGGGAGTGGGTGAGTGGGTGAGTGCGTCCGTGAGTGAACGAGTAAGCGGGTGAGTGGGTACGTGAGTGAACGAGCGAGTAAGCGGGTGAGTGAACGAGGGAGTGGGTGAGTGGGTGAGTGGGTCCGTGAGTGAACGAGTAAGCGGGTGAGTGGGTACGTGAGTGAACGAGCGAGTAAGCGGGTGAGTGAACGAGGGAGTGGGTGAGTGGGTGAGTGGGTCCGTGAGTGAACGAGTAAGCGGGTGAGTGGGTACGTGAGTGAACGAGCGAGTAAGCGGGTGAGTGAACGAGGGAGTGGGTGAGTGGGTGAGTGGGTCCGTGAGTGAACGAGTAAGCGGGTGAGTGGGTACGTGAATGAACGAGCGAGTAAGCGGGTGAGTGAACGAGGGAGTGGGTGAGTGGGTGAGTGGGTACGTGAGTGAGCGAGCGATTGAGCGAGCGGGCGGGCGGGCGGGCGATTGCTCACGGCGCAGGGTTAGCTGGCAGCTGGTGGACGCCTCTCCCAGCCCGTTAGTCGCCCGGCAGGAGTAGCAGCCCGCCAGCGCCGGCCCCGGGCGACGGACCTCCAGCGTGCAGACTCCCTGGGAGTGCAGCGAACGGAAGCCCAACTCCTCGGAGACGCACGACTCCCCACGGAACCACGCAATGTGGGGCTGCGGACCGGGGGGAGACGCGGGGAGACATGGGGGAGTCATGGTGAGACGCGGGGAGACGCGGGGAGACACGTGTAGTATTGACTGTGGTGGAGAGCGTGGTGGTGGTGAGCGTGGTGGTGAGCGTGGTGAGCATGGTGGTAGTGGTGGTGAGCATGGTGGTGGTGGTGAGCGTGGTGGTGGTGGTGAGTGTGGTGGTGGTGGTGGTGGTGGTGAGCGTAGTGGTGAGCGTGGTGGTGGTGATGAGCATGGTGGTGGTGGTGGTGAGTATTGCTCACCTTTGGGTAGGCAGGGGAATCCCTATACGTGGTGGTGGTGGTGGTGGTGAGCGTGGTGGTGGTGGTGATGGTAGTGGTGAGCATGATGGTGGTGGTGAGCGTGGTGGTGGTGTTGGTAGTGGTGAGTGTGGTGGTGAGTATTGCTCACCTTTGGGTGAGCACGCACACTACAGGTGAGTAGACAGGGGAATCCCTGCACGTGGTGGTGGTGGTGGTGAGGATGGTGGTGGTGTTGGTGGTGGTGATGGTGGTGAGGATGGTGGTGGTGGTGGTGGTGGTAGTGGTGAGGATGGTAGTGGTGAGGATGGTGGTGGTGTTGGTGGTGGTGAGGATGGTGGTGGTGAGGATGGTAGTGGTGAGCGTGGTGGTGTTGGTGGTGGTGAGGATGGTGGTGGTGAGGATGGTAGTGGTGAGCGTGGTGGTGTTGGTGGTGGTGAGGATGGTGGTGGTGAGGATGGTGTGGTAGTGGTGAGCATGGTGGTGAGTATTGCTCACCTTTGGGTGAGCACGCACGCTACAGGTGAGTAGACAGGGGAACCCCTGCACGTGGTGGTAGTGGTGGTGAGGATGGTGGTGGTGTTGGTAGTGGTGAGGATGGTAGTGGTGAGGATGGTGGTGGTGATGGTGGTGGTGAGGATGGTGGTAGTGAGGATGGTAGTGGTGGTAGTGGTGAGTGTGGTGGTGAGTATTGCTCACCTTGGGGTGAGCACGCACGCTACAGGTGAGTAGACAGGGGAACCCCTGCACGTGGTGGTGGTGGTGGTGAGGATGGTGGTGGTGTTGGTAGTGGTGAGGATGGTAGTGGTGAGGATGGTGGTGGTGATGGTGGTGGTGAGGATGGTGGTGGTGAGGATGGTGTGGTAGTGGTGAGTATTGCTCACCTTTGGGTGAGCACGCACACTACAGGTGAGTAGACAGGGGAACCCCTGCACGGCTCTGACGTCACTCAGGGGCTGCGTGAAGCTGGGAGCCTCGCTCGGGTCACGTGGCACGAACGGCGGCGGGCGCCACTCCCAGCCTGCAACCACAACCACCGCAACCACCATCGCAACCATCGTCATAGCAACCATCGTCATAGCAACCATCGTCATAGCAACCACCGCAACCACCGCAACCACCATCGCAACCACCGCAACCATCACAACCACCGCAACCACCGCAACCACCACCGCAACCATCGTCATAGCAACCATCGTCATAGCAACCATCGTCATCGCAACCACCACAACCACCGTCATAGCAACCATCGCAACCACCGCAACCATCGTCATAGCAACCATCGCAACCACCGCAACCATTGCAACCACCGCAACCATCGCAACCATCACAACCATCGTCATAGCAACCATCGCAACCACCGCAACCATCGTCATAGCAACCATCGCAACCACCGCAACCATTGCAACCATCACAACCATCGTCATAGCAACCATCGTCATAGCAACCATCGTCATAGCAACCATCGCAACCATCGTCATAGCAACCATCGCAACCACCGCAACCATTGCAACCACCGCAACCATCGCAACCATCACAACCATCGTCATAGCAACCATCGCAACCACCGCAACCATCGTCATAGCAACCATCGCAACCACCGCAACCATTGCAACCATCACAACCATCGTCATAGCAACCATCGCAACCACCGCAACCATCGTCATAGCAACCATCGCAACCACCGCAACCATCGCAACCACCGCAACCATCGCAACCACCGCAACCATCGCAACCATCACAACCATCGTCATAGCAACCATCGCAACCACCGCAACCATCGTCATAGCAACCATCGCAACCACCGCAACCATCGCAACCATCACAACCATCGTCATAGCAACCATCGCAACCACCGCAACCACCGCAACCATCGTCATAGCAACCATCGCAACCACCGCAACCATCGTCATAGCAACCATCGCAACCACCGCAACCATCACAACCATCACAACCATCGTCATAGCAACCATCGCAACCATCACAACCATCACAACCATCGTCATAGCAACCATCGCAACCACCGCAACCATCACAACCATCGTCATAGCAACCATCGCAACCACCGCAACCATCGCAACCACCGCAACCATCGCAACCACCGCAACCATCGCAACCATCACAACCATCGTCATAGCAACCATCGCAACCACCGCAACCACCGCAACCATCGTCATAGCAACCATCGCAACCACCGCAACCATCGCAACCATCACAACCATCGTCATAGCAACCATCGCAACCACCGCAACCACCGCAACCATCGTCATAGCAACCATCGCAACCACCGCAACCATCGTCATAGCAACCATCGCAACCACCGCAACCATCACAACCATCACAACCATCGTCATAGCAACCATCGCAACCATCACAACCATCACAACCATCGTCATAGCAACCATCGCAACCACCGCAACCATCACAACCATCGTCATAGCAACCATCGCAACCACCGCAACCATCGCAACCACCGCAACCATCGCAACCACCGCAACCATCGCAACCATCACAACCATCGTCATAGCAACCATCGCAACCACCGCAACCACCGCAACCATCGTCATAGCAACCATCGCAACCACCACAACCATCGCAACCATCACAACCATCGTCATAGCAACCATCGCAACCACCGCAACCACCGCAACCATCGTCATAGCAACCATCGCAACCACCGCAACCATCGTCATAGCAACCATCGCAACCACCGCAACCATCACAACCATCACAACCATCGTCATAGCAACTATCGCAACCATCACAACCATCACAACCACCGTCATCGCAACCATTGCAACCACCGCAACCACCGCAACCATCGTCATCGCAACCATCACAACCACCATCACAACCACCGCAACCACCGCAACCACCATCACAACCACCGCAACCATCGTCATCGCAACCACCATCACAACCACCATCACAACCACCGCAACCACCATCACAACCACCATCACAACCACCGCAACCACCATCACAACCACCATCACAACCACCACCGCAACCACCATCACAACCACCATCACAACCACCGCAACCACCATCACAACCACCATCACAACCACCATCACAACCACCGCAACCACCATCACAACCACCGCAACCACCACAACCACCATCACAACCACCGCAACCACCATCACAACCACCGCAACCATCGTCATCGCAACCACCATCACAACCACCATCGCAACCACCGCAACCACCATCACAACCACCGCAACCACCGCAACCACCATCACAACCACCATCACAACCACCATCACAACCACCGCAACCACCATCACAACCACCGCAACCATCGTCATCGCAACCAACGCAACCACCACAACAACCACCACCACAGCCACAACCACCACCACAACCACCACTACAACCACCACTACAACCACCACAGCAACAACAACCACCACAGCCACCACCACAACCACCAAAAAAACAACCACCGCCACCACAACCACCACAACCACCACAGCCACAACCACCACAACCACGACCACAACCACCACAAAAACAACCACCGCCACCACAACCACCACAACCACCACCGCAACAACCACCACCACAACCACCACCACAACCACCACAACCACCACCACAACAACCACCACCACAACCACCACCACAACAACCACCACAACCACCACAACCACAACCACCACAACCACCACAACCACCACCGCAACAACCACCGCAACAACCACCACCACAACCACCACAGCCACCACCGCAACAACCACCAACACAACCACCACAACCACCACAACAACCACCACCACAACCACCACAACCACCACCGCAACAACCACCGCAACAACCACCACCACAACCACCACAGCCACCACCGCAACAACCACCAACACAACCACCACAACCACCACAACCACAACCACCACAACCACCACAACCACCACCGCAACAACCACCGCAACAACCACCACCACAACCACCACAGCCACCACCGCAACAACCACCAACACAACCACCACAACCACCACAACAACCACCACCACCACGCAATCCGCTAGGGGGTGACGTTGGTGGTGGTGATGCCCTTTGTAGGAGTACGAGTGAGTGGGTGAGTGAGTGGGTGAGTGAGTGAGTGGGTGAGTGAGTGAGTGGGTGAGTGAGTGGGTGAGTGGGTGAGTGAGTGAGTGAGTGGGTGAGTGGGTGAGTGAGTGAGTGAGTGGGTGAGTGAGTGGGTGGGTGAGTGAGTGAGTGAGTGGGTGAGTGAGTGGGTGAGTGACTGAGTGAGTGGGTGAGTGAGTGAGTGAGTGGGTGAGTGACTGAGTGAGTGTGTGAGTGAGTGTGTGAGTGAGTGGGTGAGTGAGTGGGTGAGTGAGTGAGTGGGTGAGTGAGTGGGTGGGTGAGTGAGTGAGTGGGTGAGTGAGTGAGTGAGTGGGTGAGTGACTGAGTGAGTGAGTGGGTGAGTGAGTGAGTGAGTGGGTGAGTGAGTGGGTGAGTGAGTGGGTGAGTGAGTGAGTGGGTGAGTGAGTGGGTGAGTGGGTGAGTGAGTGAGTGAGTGGGTGAGTGGGTGAGTGAGTGAGTGAGTGGGTGAGTGAGTGGGTGGGTGAGTGAGTGAGTGAGTGGGTGAGTGAGTGGGTGAGTGGGTGAGTGACTGAGTGAGTGAGTGGGTGAGTGAGTGGGTGGGTGAGTGAGTGGGTGAGTGAGTGAGTGGGTGAGTGAGTGGGTGAATGAGTGGGTGAGTGAGTGAGTGAGTGGGTGAGGGAGTGGGTGAGTAAGTGAGTGAGTGGATGAGTGAGTGAGTGGGTGAGTGAGTGAGTGAGTGGGTGAGTGACTGAGTGAGTGTGTGAGTGAGTGGGTGAGTGAGTGGGTGAGTGAGTGAGTGGGTGAGTGAGTGGGTGGGTGAGTGAGTGGGTGAGTGAGTGAGTGAGTGGGTGAGTGACTGAGTGAGTGAGTGAGTGGGTGAGTGAGTGGGTGAATGAGTGGGTTAGTGAGTGGGTGAGTGGGTGAGTGGGTGAGTGAGTGGGTGAGTGAGTGAGTGTTTGAGTGAGTGAATGAGTGAGTGGGTGAGTGAGTAGGTGAGTGAGTGAGTGGGTGAGTGAGTGGGTGAGTGAGTGAGTGAGTGGGTGAGTGAGTGAATGAGTCCGCGAGTGAGTGAGTGGGTGAGTGAGTGAATGAGTGAGTGAGTGGGTGAGTGAGTGAGCGAGTGAATGAGCGAGTGAGTGAGTGAGTGAGTGGTGGACTCACCAGGCTTGGGGATGAGGGTGGACTGTGGGGTGACTCCTGCCATGAGGCTTGACCCACAGTCGTTGTGAGCGAACACGCGGAAATTGTAGAAGTTGCCCACCACCAGGCCCGAGATGGTGGACGAGCAACGGTGGACGTGGGCCACAGCCTTGAACCACTCCTGCTCCACCACCACCACCACCACCACAACAACCACCACAACAACCACCACAGGAACCACCACTACCACCACAACAATCAACAACCATCAACAACAACCACCACTACCACAACAACAACCACCACGACCACAACCGCCTTGAACCACTCCTGCTCCACCACCACCACCACCACAACAACCATCAACAACAACCATCACAACAACCACCACAGGAACCACCACTACCACCACAACAATCAACAACAACCACAACCGCCTTGAACCACTCCTGCTCCACCACCACCACCACAACAACCATCAACAACAACCACCACAACAACCACCACAGGAACCACCACTACCACCACAACAATCAACAACAACCACAACCGCCTTGAACCATTCCTCCACCACCACCACCACCACCACAACAATCAACAACAACCACCACAACAACCACCACTACCACAACAACCATCAACAACAACCACCACAACAACCACCACTACCACCACAACAATCAACAACAACCACAACCGCCTTGAACCATTCCTGCACCACAACCACCACAACCACAACAACCACCACCACCACGACAATGTGTCTCCGTGTCTCCCCGTGTCTCCCCGTGTCTCCACGTGTCTCCCCGTGTATCTCCGTGTCTCCCCGTGTCTCCACGTGTCTCCCCGTGTCTCCCCGTGTCTCCCCGTGAGTCTCCGTGTCTCCACGTGTCTCCCCATGTATCTCTGTGTCTCCCCGTGTCTCCCCGTGTCTCCCCGTGTCTCCCCGTGTGTCTCCGTGTCTCCACGTGTCTCCCCGTGTATCTCTGTGTCTCCCCGTGTCTCCCCGTGTCTCCCCGTGTGTCTCCGTGTCTCCGTGTCTCCCCGTGTCTCCGCGTGTCTCCACGTGTCTTCCCGTGTCTCTCCGTGTCTCTCTGTATCTCCCCGTGTCTCTCCGTGTCTCTGCCTGTCTCCCCGTGTCTCTATCTCCCCGTGTCTCTATCTCCCCGTGTCTCTCCGTGTCTCCCCGTGTCTCCCCGTGTCTCTCTGTGTCGCCCCGTGTGTCTGCGTGTCTCCCTGTGTCTCCCCGTGTCTCTCTGTGTCTCCCCGTGTCTCTCCGTGTCTCCCCGTGTCTCCCCGTGTCTCTCTGTGTCTCCCCGTGTGTCTGCGTGTCTCTCTGTGTCTCCCCGTGTCTCTCCGTGTCTCCCCGTGTCTCCCTGTGTCTCCCCGTGTCTCTCTGTATCTCCCCGTGTCTCTGCGTGTCTCCACGTGTCTCCCCGTGTCTCTCTGTATCTCCCCGTGTCTCCCCGTGTCTCTCTGTATCTCCCCGTGTCTCCACGTGTCTCCCCATGTCTCTCTGTGTCTCCCCGTGTCTCTCCGTGTCTCTCCGTGTGTCTGCTTGTCTCCCTGTGTCTCCCCGTGTCTCTCTGTGTCTCTCTGTGTCTCCCCGTGTCTCTCTGTGTCTCTCTGTGTCTCTCTGTGTCTCTCCGTGTCTCCACGTCTCCCCGTGTCTCCACATCTCCCCGTGTCTCCATGTCTCTCCACGTCTCCCCGTGTCTCTCCGTGTCTCCGTGTCTCTCTGTGCCTCCCCGTGTCTCTCTGTATCTCCCCGTGTCTCTCTGCATCTCCCCGTGTCTCTTCGTGTCTCCCCGTGTCTCCCCGTGTCTCTCTGTGTCTCCACGTCTCCCCGTGTCTCCACGTCTCCCCGTGTCTCTCTGTATCTCCCCGTGTCTCTGCGTGTCTCCCCGTGTCTCTCTGTGTCTCCCCGTGTCTCTCCGTGTCTATCCGTGTCTCCCCGTGTCTCACTGTATCTCCAGGTGTCTCTCTGTATCTCCCCGTGTCTCTCCGTGTTTCTCCCTGTCTCCCCGTGTCTCTCTGTATCTCCCCGTGTCTCCCCGTGTCTCCATGTCTCCCCGTGTCTCTCTGTATCTCCCCGTTTCTCTGCGTGTCTCCCCGTGTCTCCCCGTGTCTCTCCGTGTCTCTCCGTGTCTCCCCGTGTCTCACTGTATCTCCCCGTGTCTCTCTGTATCTCCCCGTGTCTACCCGTGTCTCCACGTATCCTTGTGTCTCTCTGTATCTCCCCGTGTCTCCCCGTGTCTCTCTGTGTCTCCCCGTGTCTCTCCGTGTCTCTCCGTGTCTCCCCGTGTCTACCCGTGTCTCCACGTATCCTTGTGTCTCTCTGTATCTCCCCGTGTCTCGCCGTGTCTCTGCCTGTCTCCCCGTGTCTCTCTCTATCTCCCCGTGTCTCTCCATGTCTCCCCGTGTCTCTCCGTGTCTCCCCGTGTCTCTGCGTGTCTCCCCGTGTCTCCCTGTGTCTCTCTGTATCTCCCCGTGTCTCTGCGTGTCTCCCCGCGTCTCCCCGTGTCTCTCCGTGTCTCCCCGTGTCTCACTGTATCTCCCCGTGTCTCTCCGTGTCTCCCCGTGTCTCTCTGTGTCTCTCCGTGTCTCTCCGTGTCTCTCCGTGTCTCCACGTCTCCCCGTGTCTCCACATCTCCCCGTGTCTCTCCGTGTCTCCCCGTGTCTCTCTGTGTCTCTCTGTGTCTCTCCGTGTCTCTCCGTGTCTCTCCGTGTCTCCACGTCTCCCCGTGTCTCCACATCTCCCCGTGTCTCTCCATGTCTCCCCGTGTCTCCCCGTGTCTCTCCGTGACTCTCTGTATCTCCCCGTGTCTCTCCGTGTCTCTCCGTGTCTCCACGTCTCCCCGTGTCTCCGTGCATGTCTCTCCATGTCTCCGCGTGACCCCGTGTCTTCGTGCGTGTCTCTCCGTGTCTCTCCGTGTCTCTCTGTGTCTCTCCGTGTCTCTCTGTGTCTCCACGTCTCCCCGTGTCTCCACATCTTTCCATGTCTCTCCATGTCTCCCCGTGTCTCCCCGTGTCTCTCCGTGTCTCTCCGTGTCTCTCTGTATCTCCCCGTGTCTCTCCATGTCTCCACATCTCCCCGTGTCTCTCCGTGTCTCTCTGTGTCTCCACGTCTCCCCGTGTCTCTCCACGTCTCTCCGTGTCTCCCCGTATCTCTCCATGTCTCCTTGTGTCTGTCTGTGTCTCCATGTCTCTCTATGTCTCTCTGTCTCCCCGTGTCTCACCCCGTGTCTCTCCCTGTGTCTCTCCGTGTCTCTCCCCGTGTCCTCGTGTCTCCGTGTGTCTCCGTGTGTCTCCGTGTCTCGCCATGGACTTGGTGTCCTGCTTGTCTATGCTGTACCCCGTGATGTCCGTGTCTCCGTGTGTCTCCGTGTGTCTCCGTGTGTCTCACCCCGTGTCTCCGTGTGTCTCCGTGTGTCTCTGTGTGTCTCCGTGTGTCTCCGTGTGTCTCACCCCGTGCCTCTAGTGTGTCTCCGTGTGTCTCCGTGTGTCTCTGTGTGTCTCTGTGTGTCTCCGTGTGTCTCACCCCGTGTCTCTGTGTGTCTCTAGTGTGTCTCCGTGTGTCTCCGTGTGTCTCTGTGTGTCTCTGTGTGTCTCCGTGTGTCTCCATGTGTCTCCTTGTGTCTCTAGTGTGTCTACTTGTGTCTCACCCCGTGTCTCCGTGTGTCTCCGTGTGTCTCCGTGTCTCTGTTTGTCTCCGTGTGTCTCACCATGCACTTGGTGTCCTGTTTGTCTACGCTGTACCCCATGATGTCCGTGTTGCCGGTGTCTCTGTGTGTCTCCGTGTGTCTCCGTGTGTCTCCGTGTGTCTCTGTGTGTCTCCGTGTCTCCGTGTGTCTCCGTGTGTCTCCGTGTGTCTCTGTGTGTCTCCGTGTGTCTCCGTGTGTCTCACCATGGACTTGGTGTCCTGTTTGTCTACGCTATACCCCGTGTCTCCGTGTGTCTCTGTATGTCTCCGTGTGTCTCCGTGTGTCTCTGTGTGTCTCTGTGTGTGTCCGTGTGTCTCTGTGTGTCTCCGTGTCTCCGTGTGTCTCTGTGTGTCTCTGTGTGTCTCCGTGTGTCTCCGTGTCTCACCTCGTGTCTCTACCCGTGTCTCACCCCGTGTCTCCGTGTGTCTCCGTGTGTCTCCGTGTGTCTCTGTGTGTCTCCGTGTGTCTCCACGTGTCTCTGTGTGTCTCCGTGTGTCTCCGTGTGTCTCCGCACCCCGTGTCTCTGTGTGTCTCCGTGATCTCCGTGTCTCTGTGTGTCTCCGTGTGTCTCTGTGTGTCTCTGTGTGTCTCCGTGTGTCTCTGTGTGTCTCCGTGTTGCCAGTGTCTCTGTGTGTCTCCGTGTCTCCGTGTCTCACCATGGACTTGGTGTCCTGTTTGTCTACGCTGTACCCCGTGATGTCCGTGTTGCCCGTGTCTCTGTGTGTCTCCGTGTCTCTGTGTGTCTCCTTGTGTCTCCGTGTGTCTCTGTGTGTCTCCGTGTGTCTCCGTGTGTCTCACCATAGACTTGGTGTCCTGTTTGTCTACGCTGTACCCCGTGATGTCCGTGTTGCCCGTGTCTCTGTGTGTCTCTGTGTGTCTCCGTGTCTCACCCCGTGTCTCTACCCGTGTCTCACCCCGTGTCTCCGTGTGTCTCTGTGTGTCTCCGTGTGTCTCATCATAGACTTGGTGTCCTGTTTGTCTACGCTGTACCCCGTGATGTCCGTGTTGCCCGTGTCTCCGTGTGTCTCCGTGTGTCTCTGTGTGTCTCCGTGTGTCTCCGTGTGTCTCTGTGTGTCTCCGTGTGTCTCCGTGTCTCACCATAGACTTGGTGTCCTGTTTGTCTACGCTGTACCCCGTGATGTCCGTGTTGCCCGTGTCTCTGTGTGTCTCCGTGTGTCTCAGTGTCTCCGTGTGTCTCCGTGTGTCTCCGTGTGTCTCACCATAGACTTGGTGTCCTGTTTGTCTACGCTGTACCCCGTGATGTCCGTGTTGCCCGTGTCTCTGTGTGTCTCCGTGTGTCTCTGTGTCTCACCATAGACTTGGTGTCCTGTTTGTCTACGCTGTACCCCGTGATGTCCGAGTTGCCCGTGTCTCTGTGTGTCTCCGTGTGTCTCTGTGTCTCACCATAGACTTGGTGTCCTGTTTGTCTACGCTGTACCCCGTGATGTCCGAGTTGCCCGTGTCTCTGTGTGTCTCCGTGTGTCTCTGTGTCTCACCATAGACTTGGTGTCCTGTTTGTCTACGCTGTACCCCGTGATGTCCGAGTTGCCCGTGTCTCTGTGTGTCTCCGTGTGTCTCTGTATCTCACCATAGACTTGGTGTCCTGTTTGTCTACGCTGTACCCCGTGATGTCCGAGTTGCCCGTGTCTCTGTGTGTCTCCGTGTGTCTCCGTGTGTCTCACCATAGACTTGGTGTCCTGTTTGTCTACGCTGTACCCCGTGATGTCCGAGTTGCCCGTGTCTCTGTGTGTCTCCGTGTGTCTCCGTGTGTCTCACCATAGACTTGGTGTCCTGTTTGTCTACGCTGTACCCCGTGATGTCCGAGTTGCCCGTGTCTCTGTGTGTCTCCGTGTGTCTCTGTGTCTCACCATAGACTTGGTGTCCTGTTTGTCTACGCTGTACCCCGTGATGTCCGAGTTGCCCGTGTCTCTGTGTGTCTCCGTGTGTCTCTGTGTCTCACCATAGACTTGGTGTCCTGTTTGTCTACGCTGTACCCCGTGATGTCCGAGTTGCCCGTGTCTCTGTGTGTCTCCGTGTGTCTCCGTGTATCTCACCATAGACTTGGTGTCCTGTTTGTCTACGCTGTACCCCGTGATGTCCGTGTTGCCCGTGTCTCTGTGTGTCTCCGTGTGTCTCTGTGTCTCACCATAGACTTGGTGTCCTGTTTGTCTACGCTGTACCCCGTGATGTCCGTGTTGCCCGTGTCTCTGTGTGTCTCCGTGTGTCTCAGTGTCTCCGTGTGTCTCCGTGTGTCTCCGTGTGTCTCACCATAGACTTGGTGTCCTGTTTGTCTACGCTGTACCCCGTGATGTCCGTGTTGCCCGTGTCTCTGTGTGTCTCCGTGTGTCTCACCATAGATTTGGTGTCCTGTTTGTCTACGCTGTACCCCGTGATGTCCGTGTTGCCCGTGTCTCTGTGTGTCTCCGTGTGTCTCAGTGTCTCCGTGTGTCTCCGTGTATCTCACCATAGACTTGGTGTCCTGTTTGTCTACGCTGTACCCCGTGATGTCCGAGTTGCCCGTGTCTCTGTGTGTCTCCGTGTGTCTCCGTGTATCTCACCATAGACTTGGTGTCCTGTTTGTCTACGCTGTACCCCGTGATGTCCGAGTTGCCCGTGTCTCTGTGTGTCTCCGTGTGTCTCAGTGTCTCCGTGTGTCTCCGTGTGTCTCCGTGTGTCTCACCATAGACTTGGTGTCCTGTTTGTCTACGCTGTACCCCGTGATGTCCGTGTTGCCCGTGTCTCTGTGTGTCTCCGTGTGTCTCAGTGTCTCCGTGTGTCTCCGTGTGTCTCCGTGTGTCTCACCATAGACTTGGTGTCCTGTTTGTCTACGCTGTACCCCGTGATGTCCGAGTTGCCCGTGTCTCTGTGTGTCTCCGTGTGTCTCCGTGTGTCTCACCATAGACTTGGTGTCCTGTTTGTCTACGCTGTACCCCGTGATGTCCGAGTTGCCCGTGTCTCTGTGTGTCTCCGTGTGTCTCTGTGTCTCACCATAGACTTGGTGTCCTGTTTGTCTACGCTGTACCCCGTGATGTCCGAGTTGCCCGTGTCTCTGGGCTTGTCCCAGCGCAGGGAAACCGAACAGCCCGAGACCTCCAGCACCTCCACACGGACAGGCGGGCCGGGCCGGTCTGGGACACGCGGAGACACGCGGAGACACGTGGAGACACGTGGAGACACGTGGAGACACGCGGAGACACAGTGGAGACACGCGGCTACACGTGGAGACACGCGGCGACACCCGGTGACACACTAGAGACACACTAGAGACACACTAGAGACACGCTAGAGACACACTAGAGACACACGGAGACAACACTAGAGACACGTGGAGACACACGGAGAAAGACGGAGACACGCGGAGACACACTAGAGACACGTGGAGACACACGGAGACAACACTAGAGACACGTGGAGACACACGGAGACACGCAGAGACACACTAGCGACACGCGGAGACACACGGAGACACACGGAGACACGTGGAGACACACTAGAGACACACTAGAGACACGCGGAGACACACTAGAGACACACTAGAGACACACTAGAGACACACTAGAGACACACTAGAGACACGCGGAGACACACTAGAGACACACGGAGACACACTAGAGACACACTAGAGACACACTAGAGACACACTAGAGACACGTGGAGACACACTAGAGACACACTAGAGACACACTAGAGACACACTAGAGACACACTAGAGACACACTAGAGACACACTAGAGACACACGGAGACACACTAGAGACACACTAGAGACACGTGGAGACACGTGGAGACACGTGGAGACACACTAGAGACAAGCTAGAGACACACTAGAGACACACTAGAGACACACTAGAGACACACTAGAGACACGTGGAGACAGGTGGAGACACACTAGAGACACACTAGAGACACACTAGAGACACACTAGAGACACACTAGAGACACGTGGAGACACGTGGAGACACACTAGAGACACACTAGAGACACGTGGAGACACACTAGAGACACACTAGAGACACGTGGAGACACACTAGAGACACGCTAGAGACACGTGGAGACACACTAGAGACACACTAGAGACACACTAGAGACACACTAGAGACACACTAGAGACACACTAGAGACACACGGAGACACACTAGAGACAGGAAGAGACACACTAGAGACACGTGGAGACACACTAGAGACACACTAGAGACACACTAAAGACACACTAGAGACACACTAGAGACACGTGGAGACACACTAGAGACACGTGGAGACACACTAGAGACACACTAGAGACAGGAAGAGACACACTAGAGACACACTAGAGACACACTAGAGACACACTAGAGACACACTAGAGACACACTAGCGACACACTAGAGACACACTAGAGACACACTAGAGACACACTAGAGACACACGGAGACACACTAGAGACAGGAAGAGACACACTAGAGACACACTAGAGACACACTAGAGACACACTAGAGACACACTAGCGACACACTAGAGACACACTAGAGACACACGGAGACACACTAGAGACAGGAAGAGACACACTAGAGACACACTAGAGACACACTAGAGACACACTAGAGACACACTAGAGACACGTGGAGACACACTAGAGACACACTAGAGACACACTAGAGACACACTAGAGACACACGGAGACACACTAGAGACACACGGAGACACACTAGAGACACGCTAGAGACACACTAGAGACACACTAGAGACACACTAGAGACACACTAGAGACACACGGAGACACACTAGAGACACACGGAGACACACTAGAGACACGTGGAGACACACGGAGACACACTAGAGACACACTAGAGACACACTAGAGACACACTAGAGACACACTAGAGACACGTGGAGACACGTGGAGACACACTAGAGACACACTAGAGACACGTGGAGACACACGGAGACACGCGGAGACACACGGAGACACACGGAGACACGTGGAGACACACTAGAGACACACTAGAGACACGTGGAGACACACGGAGACACGCGGAGACACACGGAGACACACGGAGACACGTGGAGACACACTAGAGACACACTAGAGACACGCGGAGACACACTAGAGACACACTAGAGACACGTGGAGACACACAGAGACACACTAGAGACACACTAGAGACACACTAGAGACACACTAGAGACACACTAGAGACACACTAGAGACACACTAGAGACACACTAGAGACACGTGGAGACACGTGGAGACACACTAGAGACACACTAGAGACACGTGGAGACACACGGAGACACGCGGAGACACACGGAGACACACGGAGACACGTGGAGACACACTAGAGACACACTAGAGACACGTGGAGACACACTAGAGACACACTAGAGACACACTAGAGACACACTAGAGACACGCGGAGACACACGGAGACACACTAGAGACACGCTAGAGACACACTAGAGACACACTAGAGACACACTAGAGACACACTAGAGACACACTAGAGACACACTAGAGACACTCTAGAGACACACTAGAGACACACTAGAGACACACTAGAGACACACTAGAGACACACTAGAGATACACTAGAGACACGTGGAGACACGTGGAGACACACTAGAGACACACTAGAGACACACTAGAGACACACTAGAGACACACTAGAGACACACTAGAGACACACTAGAGACACACTAGAGACACACTAGAGACACGTGGAGACACGTGGAGACACACTAGAGACACACTAGAGACACACTAGAGACACACTAGAGACACACTAGAGACACGTGGAGACACACTAGAGACACGTGGAGACACACTAGAGACACACTAGAGACACACTAGAGACACACTAGAGACACACTAGAGACACCCTAGAGACACGTGGAGACACACTAGAGACACACTAGAGACACACGGAGACACGTGGAGACACACTAAAGACACACTAGAGACACACTAGAGACACACTAGAGACACGCTAGAGACACACTAGAGACACACTAGAGACACACTAGAGACACTCTAGAGACACACTAGAGACACACTAGAGACACACTAGAGACACACTAGAGACACACTAGAGACACGTGGAGACACGCGGAGACACACGGAGACACACTAGAGACACACTAGAGACACGCTAGAGACACACTAGAGACACACTAGAGACACACTAGAGACACACTAGAGACACGTGGAGACACGTGGAGACACACTAGAGACACACTAGAGACACACGGAGACACGTGGAGACACACTAGAGACACACTAGAGACACACGGAGACACGTGGAGACACACTAGAGACACACTAGAGACACACTAGAGACACGCTGAGACACACTAGAGACACACTAGAGACACACTAGAGACACACTAGAGACACGTGGAGACACGCGGAAACACGTGGAGACACACTAGAGACACACTAGAGACACACTAAAGACACACTAGAGACACGTGGAGACACGTGGAGACACACTAGAGACACACTAGAGACACGCTGAGACACGTGGAGACACGCTGAGACACACTAGAGACACACTAGAGACACACTAGAGACACGTGGAGACACGCTGAGACACACTAGAGACACACTAGAGACACACTAGAGACACACGGAGACACGTGGAGACACACTAAAGACACACTAGAGACACACTAGAGACACGTGGAGACACACTAGAGACACACTAGAGACACACTAGAGACACACTAGAGACACGTGGAGACACACTAGAGACACACTAGAGATACACTAGAGACACACTAGAGACACACTAGAGACACACTAGAGACACGCTAGAGACACACGGAGACAACACTAGAGACAACACTAGAGACACGTGGAGACACACGGAGAAAGACGGAGACACGCGGAGACACACTAGAGACACGTGGAGACACACGGAGAAAGACGGAGACACGCGGAGACACACTAGAGACACGTGGAGACACACGGAGACAACACTAGAGACACGTGGAGACACACGGAGACACGCGGAGACACACTAGCGACACGCGGAGACACACGGAGACACACGGAGACACGTGGAGACACACTAGAGACACACTAGAGACACGCGGAGACACACTAGAGACACACTAGAGACACAGTAGAGACACGTGGAGACACACTAGAGACACACTAGAGACACACTAGAGACACACTAGAGACACACTAGAGACACACTAGAGACACACAGAGACACACTAGAGGCACGTGGAGACACACTAGAGACACACTAGAGACACACTAGAGACACACTAGAGACACACTAGAGACACGCGGAAACACGTGGAGACACACTAGAGACACACTAGAGACACGTGGAGACACACTAGAGACACACTAGAGACACACTAGAGACACACTAGAGACACGCGGAAACACGTGGAGACACACTAGAGACACACTAGAGACACGCGGAGACACACTAGAGACACACTAGAGACACACTAGAGACACGTGGAGACACACGGAGACACGTGGAGACACACTAGAGACACACTAGAGACACGCTAGAGACACACTAGAGACACGTGGAGACACGCTGAGACACACTAGAGACACGCGGAGACACACGGAGACACGCGGAAACACGTGGAGACACACTAGAGACACACTAGAGACACGTGGAGACACGTGGAGACACAATAGAGACACACTAGAGATACGTGGAGACACACGGAGACACACTAGAGACACACACTAGAGACACGTGCAGACACACTAGAGACACACTAGAGACACACTAGAGATACACACTAGAGACACACTAGAGACACACTAGAGACACGTGGAGACAGGTGGAGACACACTAGAGACACACTAGAGACACACTAGAGACACGTGGAGACAGGTGGAGACACACTAGAGACACACTAGAGACACACTAGAGACACATGGAGACACGGAGACACGTGGAGACACGCGAGACACACGGAGACACACAAGAGACACGGTGTCTCCTTTTCTCCCCTTGTTTCCATGTGTCTCCCCCGTGTCTCCCCCGTGTCTCCCTCGTGTCTCCCCGTATCTCCCCCGTGTCTCCCCCGTGTCTCTCCCTAGATCTCCCACGTGTCTCTCTCTAGATCTCCCCCGTGTCTCCCCGTGTCTCCCTAGATCTCCCACGTGTCTCTCCCTAGATCTCCCCCGTGTCTCCCCCGTGTCTCCCCCGTGTCTCTCCCAAGATCTCCCCCGTGTCTCCCCCGTGTCTCCCGCGTGTCTCCCGCGTGTCTCCCTAGATCTCCCACGTGTCTCTCCCTAGATCTCCCCCGTGTCTCCCCCGTGTCTCCCCCCAGAGTGTCCCCCCGTGTCTCCTCACCTATGACCTGCACGCGTAAGTCCACGACGTCCACCAGGCTGTCAATCTCCACGCGCAGCTGGTACAGCCCTGAGTCGCCACGGCTAGCCGAGCGGACAAACAGGATGGTGTCCGTGTCTCCAGAGCGACAGCTGACCTGGAGACACGGGGGGGGGGGGGGGGGTGACGCGGGGGGAGAGACACGGGGGGTGAGACACGGGGGGAGAGACACGGGGGGAGAGACACGGGGGGAGAGACACGGGGGGAGAGAGACGGGGGGAGAGACACGGGGGGAGAGACACGGGGGGAGAGACACGGGGGGTGAGAGACGGGGGGTGAGACACGGGGGGAGAGGCACGGGGGGTGAAACACGGGGGGAGAGACACGGGGGGAGAGACACGGGGGGAGAGACACGGGGGGAGAGACACGGGGGGAGAGACACGGGGGGTGAGACACGGGGGGAGAGACACGGGGGGAGAGACACGGGGGGAGAGACACGGGGGGAGAGACACGGGGGGAGAGACACGGGGGGAGAGACACGGGGGGAGAGACACGGGGGGAGAGACACGGGGGGAGAGAGACGGGGGGAGAGACACGGGGGGAGAGACACGGGGGGAGAGACACGGGGGGAGAGACACGGGGGGAGAGACACGGGGGGAGAGACACGGGGGGAGAGACACGGGGGGAGAGACACGGGGGGAGAGACACGGGGGGAGAGACACGGGGGGAGAGACACGGGGGGAGAGACACGGGGGGAGAGACACGGGGGGAGAGACACGGGGGGAGAGACACGGGGGGAGAGACACGGGGGGAGAGACACGGGGGGAGAGACACGGGGGGAGAGACACGGGGGGAGAGACACGGGGGGAGAGACACGGGGGGAGAGACACGGGGGGAGAGACACGGGGGGAGAGACACGGGGGGAGAGACACGGGGGGAGAGACACGGGGGGAGAGACACGGGGGGAGAGACACGGGGGGAGAGACACGGGGGGAGAGACACGGGGGGAGAGACACGGGGGGAGAGACACGGGGGGAGAGACACGGGGGGAGAGACACGGGGGGAGAGACACGGGGGAGAGACACGGGGGGAGAGACACGGGGGGAGAGACACGGGGGGAGAGACACGGGGGGAGAGACACGGGGGGAGAGACACGGGGGGAGAGACACGGGGGGAGAGACACGGGGGGAGAGACACGGGGGGAGAGACACGGGGGGAGAGACACGGGGGGAGAGACACGGGGGGAGAGACACGGGGGGAGAGACACGGGGGGAGAGACACGGGGGGAGAGACACGGGGGGAGAGACACGGGGGGAGAGACACGGGGGGAGAGACACGGGGGGAGAGACACGGGGGGAGAGACACGGGGGGAGAGACACGGGGGGAGAGACACGGGGGGAGAGACACGGGGGGAGAGACACGGGGGGAGAGACACGGGGGGAGAGACACGGGGGGAGAGACACGGGGGGAGAGACACGGGGGGAGAGACACGGGGGGAGAGACACGGGGGGAGAGACACGGGGGGAGAGACACGGGGGGAGAGACACGGGGGGAGAGACACGGGGGGAGAGACACGGGGGGAGAGACACGGGGGGAGAGACACGGGGGGAGAGACACGGGGGGAGAGACACGGGGGGAGAGACACGGGGGGAGAGACACGGGGGGAGAGACACGGGGGGAGAGACACGGGGGGAGAGACACGGGGGGAGAGACAGAGGGACTCCTCCCACACCTCCCCGTGACCCCGTGACCCCGTGACTTCTCACCTGCTTAGGGTCCAAGGGCTCCCCGTCCTTCGACCACGTGACCTTGGGTCTGGGCTTCCCCTGGGGAGAGGAGGGGGGAGAGAGGTGGTGATGGTGGTGATGGTGGTGATGGTGGTGGTGATGGTGGTGATGGTGGTGGTGGTGATGGTGGTGATGGTGATGGTGGTGATGGTGGTGATGGTGGTGATGGTGATGGTGGTGATGGTGGTGATGGTGGTGGTGATGGTGGTGGTGATGGTGATGGTGGTGGTGATGGTGGTGTTGATGGTGGTGATGGTGGTGGTGATGGTGGTGGTGATGGTGGTGGTGATGGTGATGGTGGTAGTGGTGGTGGTGGTAGTGGTGGTGGTGGTAGTGGTGGTGGTGATGGTGGTGTTGATGGTGGTGATGGTGGTGGTGATGGTGGTGGTGGTGATGGTGGTGGTGATGGTGGTGGTGATGGTGATGGTGGTGATGGTGGTAGTGGTGGTGGTGGTAGTGGTGGTGGTGATGGTGGTGATGATGATGATGATGGTGGTGATGGTGGTGATGGTGGTGGTAATGGTGATAGTGGTGATGGTGGTGGTGATGATGGTGGTGGTGATGGTGGTGGTGATGGTGGTGGTGATGGTGATGGTGGTAGTGGTGGTGGTGGTGGTGATGGTGGTGATGATGATGGTGATGGTGGTGATGGTGGTGATGGTGGTGGTGATGGTGATGGTGGTGATGGTGGTGATGGTGGTGGTGATGGTGGTGGTGGTGTTGATGGTGGTGGTGGTGTTGATGGTGGTGATGGTGGTGGTGGTGATGGTGGTGTTGATGGTGGTGATGGTGGTGGTGATGGTGGTGGTGGTGATGGTGGTGGTGATGGTGGTGGTGGTGGTGGTGATGGTGGTGATGATGATGATGGTGGTGATGGTGGTGATGGTGGTGATGGTGGTGGTAATGGTGATAGTGGTGATGGTGGTGATGATGGTGATGGTGGTGGTGATGATGGTGGTGGTGATGGTGGTGGTGATGATGGTGGTGGTGATGGTGGTGATGGTGGTAGTGGTAGTGGTGGTGATGGTGGTGATGATGATGGTGGTGATGGTGGTGATGGTGGTGATGGTGATGATGGTGGTGGTGGTGATGGTGGTGGTGATGGTGATAGTGGTGATGGTGGTGGTGATGGTGGTGATGGTGATGGTGGTGATGGTGATGGTGGTGATGGTGGTGATGGTGATGGTGGTGATGGTAGTGGTGGTGATGGTGGTGATGGTGGTGATAGTGGTGATGGTGGTGGTGATGGTGGTGGTGGTGATGATGATGGTGATGGTGGTGGTGATGGTGGTGATGGTGGTGATGGTGGTGGTGATGGTGGTGGTGATAGTGGTGATGGTGGTGGTGATGGTGGTGATGGTGGTGGTGGTGATGATGGTGGTGATGGTGGTGATGGTGATGGTGGTGATGGTAGTGGTGGTGATGGTGATAGTGGCGATGGTGGTGGTGATGGTGGTGGTGGTGATGATGATGGTGATGGTGGTGGTGATGGTGGTGATGGTGGTGGTGATGGTGGTGGTGATAGTGGTGATGGTGGTGATGGTGGTGATGGTGGTGGTGGTGATGGTGATAGTGGTGATGGTGATAGTGGTGATGGTGGTGGTGGTGATGATGGTGATGGAGGTCGTGGTGGTGGTGGTGCTAGTGGTGAAGGTTGTGATGGTGGTGGTGGCTGTTGTTGTTGTTTTAACAACAACATCAGCCACCACCACCAACAACAACAACGTTATTGTTCCAATGACTCGGTGACCCTGACCCCGCAACGCCGCTCTGTAACCGTGACCTTATGACCCCCCAAAAACGTAATGACCTCTTGACCCTGCCCCGGTGTCTGTGACCCCCGTATGACCCCGTGGTGAATCCCGGTGACCCCCGCGTGACCCCCGTGTGACCCCCGCGTGACCCCCGCGGTGACCCCCGCGGTGACCCCCCGGCGGCGACCTGGAACGGCACGAGGATGTTGATGGAGTCTCCGACCCGTCTCGTCAGGGTGTGGCGTAGATAGCGGGGCACCCAAATCTTGGGGCGCTCTGACACACGGGGAGGGTGGTGAGTGTTAGTGACCCACTCACCAGCGGGTGTCAACACCTCCTCACCAGTTGGTGAGCGTCAGGGTGCTACTCACCAACGATCTCCCTCACCACGAGGGGCCCCGCGTGGCCGTGAGCGCTGTGCCCGGCGCGGTTCACCGCCGACACGCGGAACTGGAGGCGATCGCCCGTGGACAGCCCGGAGACACGGAGACACGGCAGGGGACACGGGCACGGGGACGCCGACACCCACGTCTCCTCTGTCGGCGGGGGAGAGAGACACGCGGGGTGAGAGAGACATGGGGAGAGAGAGAGACACGGGGAGAGACACACGGGGAGAGACACGGGGAGAGACACACGGGGAGAGAGACACGGGGAGAGACACACGGGGAGAGAGAAACGGAGACAGACACACGGGGAGAGACAGGGAGAGAGACACGGGGAGAGAGACACGGGGAGAGACACACGGAGAGAGACACACAGAGAGAGACACGGGGAGAGAGACACGGGGAGAGACACACGGGGAGAGACACACGGAGAGAGAGAGAGACACGGGGAGAGAGACACAGGGAGAGACACGGGGAGAGACACACGGGGAGAGAGACGGGGAGAGAGACACACGGGGAGAGAGACGGGGAGAGAGACACACGGGGAGAGAGACACACGGAGAGAGACACGGGGAGAGAGACATGGGGAGAGAGACACGGGGAGAGACACACGGGGAGAGAGAAACGGAGACAGACACACGGGGAGAGACAGGGAGAGAGACACGGGGAGAGAGAGACACGGGGAGAGAGACACGGAGAGACACATGGAGAGAGACACGGGGAGAGAGACACGGGGAGAGACACGGAGAGACACGGGGAGAGAGACACACGGGGAGAGACACGCGGGGAGAGACACGCGGGGAGAGGCATACAGAGAGAGAGACACGGGGAGAGACACGGAGAGAGACACGGAGAGAGACACGGCGAGAGACACGGGGAGAGACACGGAGAGACACACGGAGAGACACACGGAGACACACGGAGACACACATGGAGTGAGACATGTGGACTAGCTGGGGGATCTTTGTCTATGTGTACGTGTGTGTCCCTACCATCTGTTACAGCAGAGGTGTAGAGAATTCCAACAAGACCTACATCCCTGCTTTATTGACCTGGTCAAGGCCTATGATACCATCAGTAGGCCTGGGCTCTGGGTTGTTCTTCGTGCTTTTGGAGTACCTGACCCTCTGCTCACGATCATTAAGGACCTTCATGATGGTGAGCGGGCCGTGGTAAAACTACGTGGCCGGGAGTCAGAGCCATTCCCTGTACACCTTGGGGTGCGACAGGGATGTCCTCTGGCTCCCACATTATTTAACATCTATTTTGACCACGTAGTTCGTGAAGCCTTCAACAGCTGTACTGGGGGAATCTCCATATGGTACAGATATAATGGGAGGCTGATCGATGCCCGGGTGCGGTCAAGGGATGGCTCCCTATTGCTCAACCACGTTATGTATGCTGATGATTTGGTAATAGCTGCTCAGTCAGAGGAGGAGTTGGAGACGCTGCTGCTGAGACTGGAGCGTGCCACTAAGAGGTGGGGCCTTACCATCAGCCCCACCAAAACTAAGCACCTGCCTGGGTATTTTGTACCATCGGACACTCCACCACCACACCCCCCAATTGGTGATGGGGCAGTTGTGGAGAGAGTGGAGAGTTTCCCATACCTTGGCAGTGTGCTCATAACCGGCTCCGATTTGACAGCAGAGGTCTCACTCAGAATCAGTCGAGCGGCAATATATTTTCATCAATTGCGTAACGCTGTGTGGTAGCTACCTGGTCTGTCGCTCCGCACTAAGCTTCAGGTCTTCTCGGCCACGGTCATTCCCTCCCTTCTCTACGCTTGCGAAACTTGGACCCCCCTAATGGAACATCTTCGCCGGTTAGAAACATTTAGACTAGCCTGCCTACGATCCATCCTGGGTTTAACCAGGCTGGATAGTGTGAGGAGCTCACAAATCCTTGAAAGATCTGAGCAAGGTCCCATCGGTGAGCTCCTCCGGCAGGCAAGGCTACGTTGGCTGGGTAATGTAGCCCGCATGCCCAGTCACCGCATGCCGAAACAGCTTTTGTTCGGCCGGATTGAGGGGGCTAAACGGGCGCGGCACGGGCTAGAGAAGAGATGGAGTGATGTGGTACAGGAGGACGTGGATCTGAGTGGACTTGCCGATGACTGGTACCAGCGGTGTCAAGATCGGCCTCTGTGGAGGAGGCTCGTGAAGGATGCTACTGGGGAGTTGGAGGCAGTCGCCCTCCAACAACAACGGAGGGCGGAGGAGCGACGCTCACAACAACGAGCGGAGCGCCGGGTGGCTAAAGCAGAGCAGGTTGGCACAGTAGGGGGCACAGGTGGTGCATCAGCCAGTCATCTCAGTCGACCCGTGGCACCTGCTGGATCTGCCCCGTGACCTCCTGCCAGCGGGCGTTCGACACTTCACGTGGCCTCAGGGTGCACCTAGCCTGGCACAAGCGTCGTGGTGACGTCACCGCCACTTAGTGGCGAATGGCGGTTGTTGTTGTGTGTGTCTGTGTGTGTGTGTGAGTGTGTGACACACCGCCGTCTGCACGATACTCCAGGCAGTATCTGTGTGTGTGTGTGTCACAGTGTGTAAGTGTGTAAGTGTAAGTGTGTAAGTGTGTAAGTGTAAGTGTGTAAGTGTGACACTGTGTGTGTGTGTAAGTGTGTCACAGTGTGTAAGTGTAAGTGTGTAAGTGTAATACACACGGCCTTCTCCACGGTACTCCAGGCAGTATCTGTGTGTGTGACACAGTGTGTCACTGTGTGTGTGTGTCACTGTGTGTGTGTAAGTGTGTAAGTGTGTCACAGTGTGTAAGTGTGTCAGTGTCACTGTGTGTAAGTGTAAGTGTGTAAGTGTGTGTGTAAGTGTGTAAGTGTGTAAGTGTGTGTGTGTCACAGTGTGTAAGTGTAAGTGTGTAAGTGTCTAAGTGTGTGTGTAAGTGTGTAAGTGTGTGTGTGTCACAGTGTGTAAGTGTAAGTGTGTAAGTGTCTAAGTGTGTGTGTAAGTGTGTAAGTGTGTCACAGTGTGTAAGTGTAAGTGTGTAAGTGTGTCACTGTAAGTGTGTAAGTGTGTAAGTGTGTCACAGTGTGTCACAGTGTGTAAGTGTGACACACCGCCGTCTGCACGGTACTCCAGGCAGTATCTGTGTGTGTCACTGTGTAAGTGTGTAAGTGTGTTTAAGTGTAAGTGTGTGTAAGTGTGTGTAAGTGTGTAAGTGTCACTGTGTGTAAGTGTCACTGTGTGTAAGTGTAAGTGTGTAAGTGTGTGTGTAAGTGTGTAAGTGTGTAAGTGTGTGTGTGTCACAGTGTGTAAGTGTAAGTGTGTAAGTGTGTAAGTGTGTCACAGTGTGTAAGTGTAAGTGTGTAAGTGTGTCACAGTGTGTAAGTGTAAGTGTGTAAGTGTGTAAGTGTGTCACAGTGTGTAAGTGTAAGTGTGTAAGTGTGTAAGTGTGTCACAGTGTGTAAGTGTAAGTGTGTAAGTGTGTAAGTGTGTCACAGTGTGTAAGTGTAAGTGTGTAAGTGTGTAAGTGTGTCACAGTGTGTAAGTGTAAGTGTGTAAGTGTGTCACAGTGTGTAAGTGTGAGTGTGTAAGTGTGTACGTGTGTCACAGTGTGTAAGTGTGAGTGTGTAAGTGTGTAAGTGTGTCACAGTGTGTAAGTGTAAGTGTGTAAGTGTGTAAGTGTGTCACAGTGTGTAAGTGTGAGTGTGTAAGTGTGTAAGTGTGTCACAGTGTGTAAGTGTGAGTGTGTAAGTGTGTAAGTGTGTCACAGTGTGTAAGTGTAAGTGTGTAAGTGTGTAAGTGTGTCACAGTGTGTAAGTGTAAGTGTGTAAGTGTGTCACAGTGTGTAAGTGTAAGTGTGTAAGTGTGTAAGTGTGTGTCACAGTGTGTAAGTGTGTAAGTGTGTCACAGTGTGTAAGTGTAAGTGTGTAAGTGTGTAAGTGTGTCACAGTGTGTAAGTGTGTAAGTGTGTGTCACAGTGTGTAAGTGTAAGTGTGTAAGTGTGTGTCACAGTGTGTAAGTGTAAGTGTGTAAGTGTGTGTCACAGTGTGTAAGTGTGTAAGTGTGTGTCACAGTGTGTAAGTGTAAGTGTGTAAGTGTGTGTCACAGTGTGTAAGTGTAAGTGTGTAAGTGTGTGTCACAGTGTGTAAGTGTAAGTGTGTAAGTGTGTAAGTGTGTGTCACAGTGTGTAAGTGTAAGTGTGTAAGTGTGTAAGTGTGTGTCACAGTGTGCAAGTGTAAGTGTGTAAGTGTGTAAGTGTGTGTCACAGTGTGTCACAGTGTGTGTGTGTGTCACTGTGTAAGTGTAAGTGTGTGTAAGTGAGTGTAAGTGTGTCACAGTGTGTAAGTGTAAGTGTGTAAGTGTGTAAGTGTGTAAGTGTAAGTGTGTAAGTGTGTAAGTGTGTGTAAGTGTAACTGTAAGTGTGTAAGTGTGTGTAAGTGGAAGTGTGTAAGTGTGTAAGTGTAAGTGTGTAAGTGTGTAAGTGTAAGTGTGTAAGTGTGTGTAAGTGTAAGTGTGTAAGTGTGTAAGTGTAAGTGTGTAAGTGTAAGTGTGTAAGTGTGTGTAAGTGTAAGTGTGTAAGTGTGTAAGTGTAAGTGTGTAAGTGTGTAAGTGTAAGTGTGTAAGTGTGTGTAAGTGTAAGTGTGTAAGTGTGTAAGTGTAAGTGTGTAAGTGTGTAAGTGTAAGTGTGTAAGTGTGTAAGTGTAAGTGTGTAAGTGTGTGTAAGTGTAAGTGTGTAAGTGTGTAAGTGTAAGTGTGTAAGTGTGTAAGTGTAAGTGTGTAAGTGTGTGTAAGTGTGTAAGTGTAATACACACCGCCTTCTCCACGGTACTCCAGGCAGTATCCGTGTGTGTGTGTCACTGTGTATCTGTGTAAGTGTGTGTGTGTGTCACTGTGTGTGTCACTGTGTGTGTGTCACTGTGTAAGTGTAAGTGTGTAAGTGTGTATAAGTGTGTAAGTGTGTCACAGTGTGTAAGTGTAATACACACGGCCTTCTCCACGGTACTCAAGGCAGTATCTGTGTGTGTGTGTCACAGTGTGTAAGTGTGACACTGTGTAAGTGTGTATAAGTGTGTAAGTGTAAGTGTGTAAGTGTAGGTTGTGGGGAGCGATAGTGTAGCGGTTAGCGCGCTGCGCTATGAACCTGGTGACCCGGGTTCGATTCCCGCTCACGGCCAACACCAGTGACGATTA